TTTTCTTTTTAATTAATATATTATTGTTTTATTATTAAAAGCAAATATTTACTTTTTTAATATAAAAAATACCGTACAAAGTTATTTATTAAAATTAATAAAATGTCCTTTAAGGAAAATAAATGTATTAATTTACTCCCAGTGATAATCAGATAAAAGGATAATACTGCTAATAATCGTAAACGTTTTTTGTATTTATATAGTCGTAAGCCTCTTGTAAATAAATAATACTAATCGTTGTATGAGTTAATGATAATTTTTTTATTAATTATTGTCGTGGTCGTACTTTACTACCTCCTCTTATTATCATTATTATTAATCTTTTGTTTATTATTATTGGTGGTTAGTGTTGGGTGCCTAATGGATTTGCTAATCATTGTTTGAGTAGGGGAAATGCTCGTAGTAAAAGTTAATAAAACAAATAGAACGTTTTCGTATTTAGTTGGAGAAAATGGGTTTATTACTTTCCAAAATTTGGAGTCTTTTTGGGAATGATGGTGAGTTTCGTTTTGTTTTCATTAAACTTACTGTCAGTTATCGCATAACCTGTTGTTCCTAGAGCACAAAATTGTAATTGTTGGTCTCGATAATGCTGGAAAGACTACAATATTGTATCAGTTCCTAATGAACGAAGTCGTCCACACCAGCCCAACCATAGGTTCCAATGTAGAAGAAGTCGTTTGGCGAAACATACATTTTATCATGTGGGATTTGGGAGGACAGCAGTCCCTAAGGGCAGCTTGGAGCACTTATTACACCAATACAGAAGTAAGTTATGGTTGGGTCTTTTTATCAGTTGATAATAATTATTATTTTCAGTTTGTGATAGTTGTAATAGACTCAACAGACAAAGAACGTCTTACCATAATTAGAGAAGAACTTTATAAGATGTTAAATCATGAAGAACTACAAAAGGCAGGAGTTCTAATTTATGCGAACAAGCAGGATATCAAAGGGTCAATGTCTGCTTCAGAAATATCTAGGGAATTAGATTTAACCTCGATAAAAAAACAGCAGTGGCATATACAATCATGTTGTGCTTTAACAGGAGAAGGGTAAGTGTATTTTTAACTTTTCTCTTAGTATATACTAGGTAAAAATTATTCATAATTTTAAAATTATAATACTAAAATACATCCCTAATCCTAAGAATTG